GCATCACTTTGATTCAATGACAGCATTTTAGATATCCCTCGATACATGACGGAATCTTATTCATAATAACATTTTTTGCTTCATCTCAAAGTTCTTTACGCCACATCATGTTATTCATGTTATTTCAACTTTGTTACACTTAGAGTCAGCCCTTTGGTTATGAGTCTTCTCTGTTAGCTAAATTCAATTGCTAATAAATTATGCTCTTTTTCCCTTTCACAGTACATCACTCATGTGATCCAAATTCGCCATTATAAAGTGGTCTCACCTATATATTGCAGCTACATATTTTAGGATTATCCAGTCATAAAACTGATCTCTTAAAAATATTGAGCTAGATATGCCTATGCTTACACTGTGTAGACCTTTAAAGGCAAAATTACACATCAGGGAATTGATTCCTGCCACGAATGGCCTCATTAACTACCTCATCACTGCCATTCCTTACACTCTAGTACAAAGAGACCTCTCTTGGGTAGAAGGGTAAATACCGTTATGATCGGTGCATTTTCTCTTCAATAAATTTGAAATAAAACAGAAAAGACATCAAGAAGACATGAAGAGGGGCGCCTGGGCGGCTCAGTGGGTTAAAGCCTCTGCCTTCAGCTCAGGTCGCAATCTCAGGGTCCTGGGATCGAGCCCCAAGTCGGGCTCTCTGCTCAGGGAGCCTGCTTCCTCCTCCCTCTCTCTCTCTCTCTCTCTGCCTACTTGTGATCTCTGTCTGTCAAATAAATGGAAAAAATCTTAAAAAAAAAAAGACATGAAGATATTAAAGTTTTGGGGTTTCACAGATTCAAATAGTTTAGAGATGACAATTACAGAAGTTGACAGACGTCGCTGCTTGACACCAACCACAGGAATCGTGACTAACCAGGTCTCCAGACACTACAGTCTGAAATGCATTGTGAGCGTTGTGCCAAGCCAAGGCTGCCATGGGCTGCTCCCCTTCCGTGGCTGAGTATGGTAGGACAGGAAGGCAGAGCTGCCCCTGGGAGATGAGGGACTGGCTTGTCTCAACACTTCCCCCACAGCCTTGCCCAATTCTCCTTAAGACATGAAGGAAGTCTGAAGTGGTTCCCCCCAACCTTCCTTCCCTCACACTGTCCACCCTACCAGCCCTGTTTACCTCTCTTCGGTTCTCTCTCACAGGCATTTCCTCAAACGGAATCCTTCCACAGTTAAGTCCGTTTTGGTCTTGCTCATCAGTTAAGCCACAAAGTTGACAACGAGCTAAAGTTTTTGGTTGGCATGTCTGTCCCTGTGACACAATATATCTTCCAGCGTAAGATGCTTTACAAACAAATATTTTCCCATTAGGAACTATGGTCAATATTGGCATATATCATGCTATGACCAGAAGAGCTAATTTGTTCTCTTATTGCTCTTTCTGTGGTGGATAACATGAGGCTTCCCTCTAACAGCCTGGGTTTATGTTACTGACAACGCAGAGCCCTTTGATCTGTTAAGTTAAAATTGAGTAACTTTGGGATCCCAGATCTTCCTCTGACTACACATGAGGCATCAGGCAATCCCTGGTGTAGGTTTCTCCTGAAGGCTAGAGTATGACTTCTTTTTTTTTTTTTTTTTTTTTTAATTTATTTGACAGATCACAAGTAGGCAGAGAGGCAGGCAGAGAGAGACAGGAGGAGGCAGGCTCCCTGCTGAGCAGAGAGCCCGACGCGGGACTCAATCCCAGGACCCAATCCCAGGACCCCGAGATCGTGACCTGAGCCGAAGGCAGAGGCCTTAACCACTGAGCCACCCAGGTGCCTCTAGAGTATGACTTCTAAAGTACCATTCAATTTTTGCGTTCCACAATTCTGAGTAACCACTTTTGTTTTTTGAGTCAGTGCTAACAGCAGGTAGAGACTTGTGATAAAAAAAAAGTACCCTTATTTTTTAAATTCAGGGACTGCTTCCACCAAAACAGATGTACCCTACAGCTAGTTCAAGAAAAAGGGTTTTATTGTAAGGTTGCAATAGATAATTCTATAAGCATCCAAGGACAGGAACCAAAGGTGTGTTCACACTGCATTGGTTTCTTCATTTTCATTTTCTTCCTTCCTTCCTTCCTTCCTTTCTTTCTTTCTCTTACTTTCTCTTTCTTTCTTTGAGCAGGAGCGGGGTGGGAGAGGGGCAGAAGGAGAAGGGAGAAGAAGACTCCTCGCTGAGCAGGGAGCCCGACATGGGGCTCAACGTGGGGCTTGATCCCAGGACCCCGAGATCATGACCTGAGCCAAAGGCAGACGCTTAACCAACTGAACCACCTGGCACCCCTACACTACATTGGTTTCCAACTAGAAAGGAAGAAACTAAGGTTAACCTGTGTATCCAAATTCTCATGTGTCTTAAAAAGAAGGCTGGACTGAGGGGAAATCTATTGGCATGTCTGCTACACCCTGATTCTTTGGTGTCTCTAGCTGACCAGTTATATTAATAAATTTGATTCATTAAAAAATTGAGGAGGTTGCACAGGCTTTCCTCAGAAGTCTCTATCTTATCTATCATCTGTCTGTCCTCTCTACCCTCTTTGAGGGGCTTCATCACTTAGCCTCCAGCTTCTGAGCGTTTGCAGCGTTGAGAGTGTTGTCAGGGATGGTTCACAGAGGAAGAGCAGAGCTTTGTCCAAGGCGACATCCAGTTCCCAGCTAAAATTTATACAGAAATACTGACAGGGTGAAACAGTCTTAGGATTTGGAAAGCCAGCATTTTCGCCCATTTATGGCCCCACACCCTGATGGATAATTGACACTATAATCAAGAACTTTCCTTGGTGGGCATATCCCTTGGCCCAGCAATGCTATTTAAACTGACTTACCCCAAAGAACTAATTAAGGCTGTGCACAGATATGAGTTATCAAGACATCGATTCAGTTATTCAGTACGTTTAGTTAAGAAACACCATGAATCCCTAATAACATCGGGGTTTGTCGAGTAAAGCACACCATAGAAAACAACAGAGCCATTATAAATGGGGTGGCATCAGCTTTATTGACACGAGAACTAGTCTGAATAAGAGGCTGAGTGGAGAAGAAAGGTTAATCAACAGTATGCATAATAAGCTCTTGGGTGTTTTCCCCCCTCAAATCATTATATGAATGCATAGGAAACATGTGGAAAATTGTATACCAAAATACAGTGATTACCTCTGCATAGCCATGCATAGGATTAGCTAGGATTTTAATTTCACTCTTTTTACTTTATGCATTTATCAAATACTTTATAGAAAATACATGTTTACCATCTTATTGAAAGGCCAACACAATTATTGAAAAAAAATGCATTTGTCCTTAATTATGAGATTTGCTGATCCAAATATTGCAAAATAAGTTATTTTTTTCTCACTAAATAACCCAACGCTCAAACAAGTCTCATTTCAATGTTTCAGCTTTCCTTTCCATATATTTTTATTTAACTCCTCTCACATGTATTTCGATAGAGAAAATATTGAAGGGAGAGAAAGAAATTTTTGGTTCTCACACAAAGGCCACCATCATCCTTGACATGTTACTCTCAGTGTGGGCTGATGTTCATTTTTGACTTTATCAAAATAAATAAACCAAGTGGCCTGGTTCATCTTTTGTCAATTAAGCAAGTGGATATATGTGCACAGTTACATATTGTCTAACGTATAAACATGCTTAGTTAAGAATTGTGTAAGCTGTTAATGTTCCTAATGAAGTACTACATTTCGTCTAATATTCAGTACATGATTTCAGTTAAATATTTAAAGTAAACAGTGTTTAAATATGTAGCCCTCTTCAAACTCTTAATCCCTTCAGTATTGTACTTAAAGTGTTGACTTTTTCTTACATATGTGTTTTGTCTCCACTTCCGTGGAAAGTTCCACTTCCGATTCCCCTCCCTGGAGAATCCCTACAATGCTGAGGAGGTAGGCTAGGCTGCCAATGCGTCATAACAGCCTCAGGTGGGTTTCTTTGGTGTGGTGCTACGCTGAACCTTCTCCAGCTTTCCTTAAGGGCCAGAAAAGTTTGACCTTTAATGGAGCAGCAACATACACTGAGTATACTGTTGGTACCCTTGTGTGGGTGCCTCTCCTGGACTCCTTTAACTCCACCACCCTGCAGTGGTGACAACGGAGAGGGCAGCCCATGCCTGCATTCTTATTAACACCATTTCTCCACTTTCTCCTGCGTTTACGCAACCCCCTGTCTTCTGTGTCCCGATGGCTACAGAGATGAGAGGAGATTGTGTGTCTAATGATCTTGTGTGAGCACGATATGTCACTTCATGCCTTCTCTGGGAAGCAGGGACATTGGGAAAGCTAAATGAGATATTATACTTCAGCTTTCAGATTGTTCCTCCACCTCCTCGAACGGAGAAGTGACTGTAGTTGCCTTTCCGAGCACAGAGCTGGTGTGTGGCTGGGGTACCAGCATCGGCTGAGAACCAGGGACTTTGGAGTCCTGGCCCCCAATCCCCCGCCCCACCCCTGCCCCCACATTGGGCCCACAGCACCTTTGCAAGCACCGGCTATCTGCAGACAGAATATTTTCTCAGGCTTGGCATCAAGGTACCTGAGATGTCCTGGGAGATGACATGAGCACCACATCCACGGATGTGAAATTCTTGGGGGTTGAGTCACTGGTACATAAATCATAGTAGGAGAAATGAACTCTTGTTTCTGGTGCCTCATAAGCATTGCTAATGAGAAACATCATGAAAGTGAATTCAGCACCTTTCCACCCACGGCATGGCAGCCGGAAAACAAAGATCCAGATGCACTGTGCCTGCCTTTCCCTTTTATTGACTTAGTTATCATTATTATTTTTTTAGTTTCCAAAGTTGGTGGCTAAAAATGAGCTAAAAGCATTCTTTGTAAAAAAAAAAATACAATTTTCCACATTCTGCTTTTCTAGATTGTTCAAAAATTCCCTTTCATCACAATGAAATGAAATTCTTCCTCAAACAGCAAACACATAAGGCTCTTTTGGACATTCATTCCTTCTGCTTTCCTCCTTAGAATCATTGTATTTCCAATCCCATCTTAAAATATCATGAACCTTCTAACAACACAAGTCAAAACGAAATAAAACATACTGTAAAAAAAAATGGGTATTTTGTTTGTGATATGGCATTTATTTTACAATGCACATATTAGGTCGAATGTAAGAACCAAAGCGTCTTTCCCCTACACAGAGCTCTCCCAGAGTAGGCACCGCGAAGGCCACTCTGCATGCTGCGAGAAGCTTTGTCCACCCGCGTTCAGCTTTCATATACCTTCCACACCAAAGGACATACCTACCACTACGGTTTCTGGTGGCTTGAAAAGAAAAATGGAAGCAGATCATTAAGAAAAATGCCGCAAGATGTGTCTATGGGGAGCGCTGCAGTTGTTAAGGCAAGGGGAGCAGGCCCTTCCCCAGGCTGGGCGGTGCCTGGCCTCATCCTGGGAGGCAGTTCCAGAAAGCAGAAGGCTCACACTCTTTTTGGGTTTGTTCTCTTTTGGGCACTCCTAGCTTTAATGGTCTTCTTGGGGGTGGCCGGTTTGGGAGCGGGCGGCTTTCCCTTTGGTTTTGGGGTGTTGCTACGACTGGTCCGCCCGGCTGTTCGCTTCTTGTCCTGAACAGTCCTGCGCTGTTCCTGCAGCCTCTCTTCCCACTGCTGGGAAACAATGTGCAAACGTGACCATCATGTACACCTCACCGCGTAATGCTGCTGAATGGATGTCAGAACTGATGCCACTGTTTTCCCTGTAATAGCTGCGTCATGACAACAGAGATCGAGATTGCCACCCCGCCTTGCTGAGCACTTAGCATACACCAGAGGATCTGAAAAGCACTCAGGATGGGATAAAGTCCTGATACCCATTCATTTTACGGAAACTCCCAACAGCCCTGCTAGGTGGACACCATGGTCATGACCAGGAAACAGGCGCGCAGAGCTCCTTTGCAGCCGCCACACAGCTGACAAATGCCAGAGCTGGGATTCAAATTCACCAGTCTGACCCCAGGGCCCAAGTCCCCAGGCCATGCTACTTTTGTCCCATCGCCCTGCAACGTGACATTCCTGTCCAGCAAGGCCTTCTAAAGAGGCTGGGACATGGCTGAGAGCAGAAGTCTATCCAGCCCCACCAGGAAGGCCAGGGGGTCTCCTAGTGCATTTATGGGTGGGCTCACCTAATTCTCCTCCACCCAAAGGAAGACAGAAGCCCATCCCACCTCTAGTCATCCACTCAAGCGTTAGCCACCCAGACCCGATGAGAGATGAGACTTTCTGGAGAGTTGTTTCCTTGACAGAAAAGGACTTTCTGCTTTTAATATAAAGAAATACTATTCATTTAAACAGCAGCATGGAAGAAAACCTGAAAAAGTGAGTCCACTTGAATAGACAATGCCTTTTATTATAACCTAATGCCCCTGATTTGTTAGAGTATATTTCATTCAGCAAAGAGTTTGAGCAAGACCACAGGCTGGGTATCATCTGAGGCACTAGAAATGCAGGGAAAGGAAAGACACGGTCCCCACCCTCCCAGGGCACAATTCTAGTCTGTTCTGGAATAATCAGCTCATCACATCTGCTGTTATGCGGTGCTTCAAATTCTCATGGAAGCATATTAGAATATTTGCTGCAAAAGTGAACGGCCCAAAGAGCTAGGATTCCTGAAAGTTTGCTTTCCTCTCCGGTCCTTATGGTGGAAGTGCTTTCTACACTGATGCTTCTACTCTACTGTAGTCTTGGAAACTGGATCATGCTAGAATTTTCTGTCAAGGCTAAGTGCCCTTCTGAGCAGCTCCTGAGTTTTTCACTCAGATGTGACTGTCATGTTATTCCGAAATGCACGGAGTGGGAGAGGCTGTGTTCAAACTACCTTCTCCATAAGCCGGTATTAATGTAGCCTTTTCACTTGCAAACTGAGAGGCCACAGGCCATTCTAACACCTTTTGCGAACCTGAAAACACAAATTCTCCTAGATATATCTAAACGTATTTTCAGGAGAGGGGATGCTTTAACCATTTCCAACCAATGACCTGATTTCTTTAGTTCTGGTGTGATCTCATACCTCTGGGCAAAAAAATTATTTTAACCCCTTTAATTGAATTACCAATATTTCAATTAATTAATTAATATGTTACCACTAAAATCATGGATTTGGCTACAAAATGATTACAATTTGTAGATAATTGATTTTGACAAACATCATTATAAATATCTTAAATACAGGGAAAGATTATGCTTTGTACAGAGATAGCATGAATTTTAGAATTGCGTATTCACACCCTTATGTGTCTATGTCTGTTTTAAGCCCTCTGGATGCTAATTCTGGTCAAGTACCTGACTGATTTTGCTAATAGTTAAATGAAATACCATAAAGAAAATTTTTTAAAAACCACCTAATTGAATCTGGAAATAACCAGTCGATCACTACTGAATGCAACCAAATCCCCTTTGAGGCTGAAGAGAGGTTTATGCTACAACTTCTAAGTCAGAATAACTGTGCTCTTTACTTATTCAAAAGATAAATAGCACTGCTATTGCAGGCTCCCCTGAGTCTGGAGATGGAAGAATGTGAAGAATCCCCCAGCTTAGATAATTTCTTCACATGCCCTTAACCCCATTCTGCAGTGTTGCCAATTATACTTACTATGGATCTTTTACTGAGTTGATCTCTCCATTTTTCAACTAAACAGTTTTCGAGAAGCATCATCCTGAGAAAAAGAAATTGATCTTGAGCAATTCTGATTATGAAAGGAAAAAGTTGAAAAATACAAAAAACCTTAAAAAAACAAAATTCTTTATAACCCTTAACTCTACAATCCACATAACCACCATTCATATTTTACTAGCATTTCCTTTTATTCTTCCTTGTACCTATACATATATTTGAATCACACTGTATATTTAGATCAGACTGTACATTTTTACCATTCTATTTACACATTTTCTCACATAATTAGAATAATTTAAAAATACAGCTTTAATAACCATAAAATATTTCAACAATGATATGCATAACACACTGGGCCTGTCTCTGCTATTGAACCTCCATTTGCTTAGCTACTATTGCCAGCATTGTGTTGAATGTCCTTATGTATATATGTGTATATGTGTGTGTGTGCGCGCGTGTGTGTGTGCACTGACTTATTATTGCCTTAGGCCAGATTTCTGAAAGTAGAATTATTGGGTCAAAGACTGTCTTTTTCCAAAGCTTTCCATGCACAGCGCCAAACTGTTTTCAGAACGGTTGAACTTTCATTCCAATTATTTTTTAATTTGGATTGCAGAATTAAAGAGGTAAATGTATTTACAAATTATATTTCTTCTGGAACTTGTCTGTATAGATTTATGTACACATTATTTATATATTGTAGTCTTAATGTATTAAATATGAACTCTTTATAGAGGAAGGTTACTATTCCTTTGTCATAATTATTGCTAGTATTTTTCTTAATATTTATTGTCCTTTTTGGGTGATTTGTATGTCCATGATATTATGTCATCAAAAGTATGTATTGACATTTTTCCCTTGTAATTTCTTCTAATTAATTTCATGTTTGCAAAGTACTTTGTCATTCAGATTTTGCATATCTATTCACCTAATTTTATCCTCTATAGTTACATTTTAAAAATATCTCTTTAATCCATTTGAAATTTATTTTATAGTACAGCTTAAAGTGAAAATAGGTACTAGTTTTCCAAATAAAAATACTTGCAACATTTACTAAATAATATATTCATGTCCAATTGATTTGCCTTATCTCCTTCATAAGTTATTTCGTGCATTAGAATCTGTTTCAAGTCTGCTTCCTCTGTGTTATTTACCTACATGTGTACTCCTGCCCCACATGGCTTTAGCAAGTGTAGCTTTGTACCAGTTTTCTGTTTCTCCTAAGGCAGGTCTCCTTTCAAAAGGTATTTTCAATCATTTCCTTTACATGCCCTTGCCCGTTTTGTTCTTCCAAATGATCATCAGCATTATTTGTGAAGACATAACTCCCAGTCATTCAAAAGTGTTTTTACTGGTATTTTCATCAGAATTACATTAAGTCTACAAGCAAATAGAAAGGATGACAGGAAAGCGGTTATTTAATTCATTTATAATCCATTCATCTGTCCTAATAGGATTTAATGATGAGCGGTCCAGAATGTTCCCAGAACGGCATCTCATCCTGCAGCAGATACAAACACCTGGTTAAGAGATGAGCCCAGAAACATTCAGTCAACCCTCATTCACTCAGCTTCTTTAGAGAGACAAGCTATCGAGCCAAGAACAGCTTTAAAGCCAAGAACACAAGGTGGCACAGGCGGTGTGAGGAGGGTACCCAAGTACTGATAAGGTACAGATTGAGGAAGTAGTCAAGTGAGGTCCGTTTCAAAAGGGGTCTTGGAGAGATAGTCCATAGCTGTATCCAGAGGAAACCGATGAGCATTAATGACAGGGAATCAAAGGGAAGACAGGTTCTATAAAAAAGGAGTCACTTTGTTGGAGATATAGCCTGCAGCAGGTTATGGGGTCCTTCCTGGAACCTGGTCTGCAGAGTTCGAATTTTCCATTACAAGAAATGTACCAATATATAAAAAGACGTGAAGGAAAGAGAGGTAGGGAGGCACACTTCCAGCTAGAGATAAGTGTATATGTGTGTGTGAGTTTGACTGTGTATGTGGGTGTGTGTGTAATGGTTTATCAAACAAATATTGTACATTTATATTGCATATAAGGAAAATGTGGACCTGTTATCTCAAATGGCCAATGTTACTAGATCTGTAAGTTATTAAAGAGCTTTTAAGAAATATTCATGATTTGCCACTCTTAAGATTGATTCAAGGTTTGAGAAGAACTGTTTTAACTCATAGAAATTTTTCTGCTAAATTTTTGAAGTTGCTTAATGAATTCCAAAATTGATTTTTAAGGATTCCATTCAAATACTCCTATTTCGATTTTTCCTTCATGCCATGAGGAAGTCAATGATATTTAGGATATGCGATATGGCAACAGTGGCATCTATTAAAATGATTTATTTATTTATTTATTTGGTTGTCTTTTTAAAAAGAACTACGGGTGCCCCCCTGCCCCCTCTTTTTTTTTTTTTTTTAAATAAACCATCGCTGCTAAACGAGATTCACGTTTCTAGAAGTAGTGTGCAGTTTCTTCTGCCCCTTCGTGCCTACCTGGAGCGCCACTCGTAACACATGATGAGAACGTCTTGGTGGGGCAGGATGTGAGGACACTGGCAGGAAGAATTTGTGATGAGCGGGACCTGCATTCGTGGGATGGGGGACGAGGACTTGAAGATCTCTTTCACGTCCACCACGGTGGTCACTTCGTTACAGCCACTCCTCTGCACAGCTTTTATCTTGGCGTGAATGACTGCAATTTAAGAAAAGTGATAGAAGCGTTTGATGGCGCCTTTGGAGACAAAGAAGGATGGTGTCTTTGCGCCAACTCCTGAGCCTCTCTTAAAGAATCCCTCCTGTAATTATGGTCATGTCCAAGCTGCCCAGACGCAGGCAAGGAGCCCACACAATCACACTGTCTGCATTGTCTTTCAAGTCCCAGATCCCGCGGCAGGATGCAAGAGCGCAGGGACCAGCGGGCTCCGTCTGGGCTTTGCCTCCAGCGGGGTGACTGCTCAGATCAGGCTGTACCTAGGACGTGAATAGAGATTCTCATGCATTGTTCCAGGCTTAAAATCTTACAGTTAGTCTCGTTTGTTTGTATGTTTGTTTGCTCAAGTCATATCTGGAAATTCATGTCAGGAATGTGAATAAAAATCTCACAGGAATGAATATTTGTTGATCCTCTGCCTTGTGAGGATCTAAAGTGAAGATCATGTGTGTGAGAGTTCAGAAGCCGCTTTTTCAAAGACGGATTATGAGAGAGAGAGAGAGAGAGAGAGAGAGCATGAAGGGGCAGCAACAGAGAGAGAGAGGAGAGAGAATCTCAGGCAGACTCCCCACTGAGCCCAAGATCATGAGATCATGACCGAGCAGAAATCAAGAGTCGGACGCTCAACGGACTGAGCCATCCAGGCGCCCCTCAGAAGCCACTTGAAAGTTTGTCTGGTACAACCATCAGTCTGATGCTTGAACTTCCTCTCTTCCAAAGGAAGTTATTAAAGTCATAACATTTCTGAACTGGAAGGAGTCTCTGAAGATCACCGCTCTCTATCCTTTAATTGTGCTGATTGTCAAAGCCAGGTCTGTGGTGAGCGGAAGTCTAACTCTTATTACAGATGGCTGTTAACATCACTGTCCCTGATCAAACTTTAAATTCTGGCTCTTTTGGTTCCTTGCTATTACTGCCTTCCACGGAATTGTAATCAGCCTAGCATGGATCTGTCTTGGATTCCGTCCTAGAAAGCTGGTTTATGAAGGAGCCAAAGGACTTAAATAGAAAATGGTTTCATCATCAAAGTAGTTCAGGGAGAACAGCAAGACAGTGAAACTCGGGTTAGTAAGGAGGGCTTGTTCGTGTCAGATGAGGGACAAAGTAGATTAGATTAAGACAAAACCTACAAAGAACAGTTTTAAACAACAATAATGAAAGCTAGTGGAAAAGATCATTGCTTTTTTGTTTGTTTGTTTGTTCAGTTGAGTTACCCACATTGGCTGCGTATAATCTCAAATCTTACAATTCAAATAAGAGTTATTTTTTTCAGACTTTTATATGGCCATGCTCTTCCTATTTACACATATAATATATCGCATAAAGTTCGCGACTTAAAATTTCAGTCTGAATTACAGAAAACAAAGTTAACAAATAAAATGACCCTTTTGCCAAAACAGTTCCTGTTATTTCAGCAGAAGTAATTTAAGAGATGCAAAGGAACATAAAGGAGTCCAAACAGATATTTTAAAAGAACCTATTTGCGGGGAGACTGGTTGGCTCAGTTGTTAAGCATCTGCCTTCGGCTCAGGTCATGATCCCAGGATCCTGGGATCGAGTCCTGCATCGGGCTCCCTGCTCCATGGAAGACCTGTTTCTCCCTCTCCCACTCCCCTGCTTGTGTTCTCTCTCTCTCTGTCAAATAAATAAGTAAATAAGATCTTTTTAAAAAGGAACCTATTTTTAATTAAATTTACTTTTAAATGATAATAGAATTAAATTTACTTAAAAAATTAAAAATAGCCTGATTCATCGAACAACGTGCTGACTGTTCTTTCCAGTAAGAGGACTATTTTTTAACTTCTTAATTTTATTTTATTTTCTTCAGTGTTCCAAGATTCCCTGTTTATGCACCACACCCAGTGCTCCATGCAATACGTGCCCTCCTTAATACCCACCACCAGGGTCAACCATCCCCCCACCCCCTCCCTTCCAAAATCCTCAGTTTGTTTCTCAGAGTCAATAGTCTCTCATCCTTCATCTCCCCTTCCAACTTCCCCCAATCACCTTTCCTTTCCTTCTCCTAATGTCCTCCATGTTATTTCTATGCTTCACAAGTAAGTGAAACCGTATGATAATTGACTTTCTCTGCTTGATTTATTTCACTCAGCATAATCTCCTCCAGTCCCGTCCATGTTGATGCAAAAGTTGGGTATTCATCCTTTCTGATGGCTGCATAATATTTCATTGTATATACAGACCACATGAGAAGAGGACATTTAAACTATGTCATTACTTGTACATATTTCCTCGCAATGCCTTTAAGATGTTAAATACTTACAGGTGTTTATAAGTAAAAAGAAACATAGGTGGGTCTTAGTTCCTGGGCCCTTGGGCCTCAGATAATGCAACCCATGGATCACGCACCCATCCTTCAGGAAACCTCAGGAAGAGAACAGGTCAGGTGGGCTGGCCTGGCTGATTGGCCCATCTCCCCAAGACAAGTAGGAACTTGATGGCAAATTTGCACTCTGACCCACATCACTGTTCCCCCTGAGTAAGCTACTTTGGTTTTTCTTAATTTACCCAGAAGAGCAAGGCACTTGACAGTTGTCTTTGTGCCATGGAGAACCCATGGAACCACTTGGTCATCATCTTTGTGGCTGGCTTGTAACGTGCCAAGTCCCCAAGCGAACGGCTGCGTCAGTGACTTACCGTAGCTGTAGTTTTTGCTCAGATATGTCGCCAGAGTGGGCTTCACCTTCTTGCACTTGCACCGGTCTGAAGGAGATGAAAGAGAGACAAGAAGTTGGAAAAAGTGTCCCAAAAACCACTCTGGAGAGGAGACAAAGAGGGAACCTCAAGGAGAAAGAACTCACCAGGGCTTAGGCGTTTACAGTCCACGTCCAGAGGCCTTTCCTGAACCATCATGTCTGGCGTGATGTCTATCCACTTAACATCTGAAACACACACAGAGCCGCAAGGGTGTGGTCAGTGACTTAGCCTGTTCACCCAGCTGGAATAAAGAACCATCTGGAAGACACACACTAGCATAGCATCACAAAAGAATAATATTACATTGTAAAAGTGGCATGTGATTTTCAGCTCTCTCTTTCATACAGACATTCCTGGGCTTAGGAAAGAAGACTTTTGAGTTAGATTTTTTGCCCATCGAGCAAACTGATGTGAATGTGCGTCCATTTGACTTGGCTGATACACACAGCTAACTTCCCTTCCAAATGCATTTTAAAATGTTGGTTTTTCCGAGTTGACAGTTGACCCTAATCAAAATATCCAGAATATTTCCAAATCACCACCTCTCCTTTTGCAGTGCAGAAACAGTCCACAGCTAAATAACCCCCCCCAAAGCATAACCTTCTATAATTTACATAATGTAAGCAATAATTTTTTTTTCCCTGAAGCTTTGAATTAGAGAGGAGTTTGGATTTTCTCTTCACTTTACTTCTCCTTCATGTGTTGGGCAATACTCTGAGCTAGAACCTCAGAAACTACACTAAGGCAACACCATAATATCTTTAAATGTGCAGGAACCTCTGTCAGGGATAAAGGCATGGAAAATATTCTTAGATTTCATTTCAAGAAATGGATTTAAGCTTGCTCCTTCATCCTAGAAAAGCAGCAAAATGACAAAATAAAAAAAAGGGGGGGGGAAGCAAAAGTTGATATCCCGTTAACTAAGAGGTCACAGACATTGACCATGAAACAGACATCACAATTTTTCAGAACGACTAAATTTACAAAGGGTACTCCTGGTGGGGAGTGATGACCGGTACTGTTTTTTTCCTTAAGAGTTTTCAAGAGCTAACGCTAACTGGAGAATTTCCGTGGGACCATTTGCAGGATTCAAGGATACACACCAAGTGCTTAACTCCGGCCCAGACCCATCCTATGCCCCACCTATACGCGTGTTTGCTGCCTCTGTTCTCTCACTGTCAATGACAATGCCCTCTATGGTTCTCTCTACAAACACCTCCCCCCCCCCCACACAGTCTATGGACGTGGTGTTCTTCAGTTCCCGAAATTCCCCTAGGGAAACCAGACTTTACCCCAAAGTCAGGTCACCAGCCCTTCCCACCTCCTCCAACCCTCGGAAGCGGGACGGGGGACTGACTGACTGCCCACCCACTGGCATCGGGAGAACCGGGCGCCCGGTTCTCAGGCAGCAAGAATGCCCCTTGCCCCCTCGGTCCTTCCTTTCGGCCTCACCCTCGGGGAGGTCGGTGACGATGGCTTCCGGTGAGATGCACACGCCGCGATCGTAGACGGGCAGCTCGTCGCAGGCCAGGCTCTCGGGCCAGCTGTGGTTGTACATCTTCATGAGGGGCTCGCAGTCGTCGCGCGCGCGCTGGCACACCGACTTGCACGGCTTGATGGGGTCGTGCAGGAACTCCAGCGTGCAGATGGGCGCGTACATGGCGCAGAGGAAGAAGCGCAGCACCGAGCTGCAGTTCACGTCCACCAGCTCCTCGTACTGCTCGATGGCCAGGATGGCATTCTCCTGCGTGCTGTGGTGCAGGTGGTTGGGCATCCGCGTGATGTTCCAGGGCATGTGCCGGCACATGGGGATGCGCACCGCCTCGCAGGGCGCGCCGCGCACGCAGAGCGCCAGGCGCAGCCCCAGGCACAGCGCCGCCAGGACGGAGAGCAGCATGGCACTGCCCCGGCGCGCCGCCGCCCCGACAGGCATAAGGGGCCCCTGGCTTGCTAACCCCCTAGTCTGTCGCCCTCCCTTCCCCGGGGAGGAAGTCCTTCGGGGGCACGGGAGAGGCTCTACGCCCTCGCTGCCGTCGGTAGCGGTGCGGGGCCGCGGGGGCCGGCGGGGGATATCCGGCGTCCGGCGCACCGAGCTCGAGCAGCGCCAGCCCTCAGCCTGCGGGGCGCGGACCCGCCCGGGCAGCTCCAGTCCCGGACCCGGCAGCTCCGAGCGCAGCCGGCCTCGGCCATTGCGGGACCCTATTTATCCCGACACTTCCCCTGACGTGGGCCGGGAACGCTCCCTTGGCAGCTGCGGGCGCGGCGCGGGCTCCCCCTCGGCCGCCCCACCCCCAGCCCTCTCTTTGCCGGAGCGGTGACATCATCTCCTCCGGGCCGCAGCCGCGGGCTGGAATCCTGCATTTCCCCAAAGTCCCTCCTTTTTAGTCTGGCCAGTCCTTTTTCTTCGCACCAAGAGATAGTCTCTGGCAGTCGTTTTGGACACCGGATCCAGGAGCGTGCAGGAGAGGATTTCAGGAGAGAGGAAGACATTATCTGGGTAAAAGCTGAACTTTGCGCCCTCTCTGCCACATAGGTTCCCCAAGTAGAGAGTTGGAGGGAAACGGGAACTTGGACGGCCCTTTAATTCTGAACATGCTTTCTGTCTCCAGTAGGGGGCACGAGAAGCGCGGAGCGGCGAGACTACTGTGAGGCGCTGGACCGACACGTTACATAAACACATCCTCCTCCGCTCCCCACACCAGTTGCACAGAGTTGGGTTTTGTTATTGTTGTGACTAGAAGACATGAGTTTGGGCTCAGGCTTTTCCAGAATGGCATTTGGTCTGTACCTGCTCCAGGAACAGAACTGTCTGAAGATGCAATAATAGCATCTTCTAGTTGAGGAATGTTTTCCATCCGCCAACATTCCTCTTCCTTTTTCTCACTCCCTATTCCTCTCCCCAGCGTGAGTGCAACCCAGGAGAAAACACAGAGCGCCGGACTGCACAATCTGAAAGACTTTTTCCCTTTTCATGCCAAGTGATTTCCAACCCAGCAGCCTAGAATTTGATTTTTTTTTTTTAAGATTTTATTTGTCAGAGAAAGAGAGTGCAAGTGAACACAAGCAGGGGGAGCAGCAGGCAGTGGGAGAAGCAGGCTTCCTGCTGAGCAGGGAGCCCAATGTGGGACTGGATCCCAGGACCCTGGGATCATGACCTGAGCTGAAGGCAGATGCTTAACAGAATGAGCCACTCAGGTGTCCCTAGAATCTTAATTTTTGATGTGCTTGAAACATCTGGTGTGCATCTGGTGTGCTTGAATGTTAATCTTTAAAAACATAGTTCAGGGGCGCCTGGGTGGCTCAGTGGGTTAAAGCCTCTACCTTTGGCTTAGGTCATGATCTCAGGGTCCTGGGATCAAGTCCCCCATCGAGCCCCCCATCGAGCCCCCCATCGGGCTTTCTGCTCAGCAGGGAGCCTGCTTCCCCCTCCCCCGCCCCCCGCCCCCCGCCCTGCGCCCTGCCCCTGCCCGCCTCTCTGCTACTTGTGATCTCTGTCAAGGAAATAAAGAAACTCTTAAAAAAAAAAAAATAAAAACATAGTTTAGGGGCTCCTGGGTGGTTGAGTCAGTTAAGTGGCTGCCTTCGGCTCAGGTCATGCTCTGGGGTTCCTGGGTTGGAGCCCTGCATCAGGGTCCTTGTTCAGCCGCGAGTCTCCTTTTCCCTTGCTGCTCCCCCTGCTTATGCTCTCTCTCTTTCAAATAAATAAATAAAATCTTTTAAAAATTTATTTGAAAGAGAGATCACAAGCAGATAGAGAGGCAGGCAGAGAGAGAGAGAGAGAGGGAGAAGCAGGCTCCCTGCGAGCAGAGAGCCCAATACAGGGCTCGGTCGGAGGACCCTGAGATCATGACGTGAGCCAAAGGCAGAAGCCCAACCCACTGAGCCACCCAAAAGCCCCTAAATAAAATCTTTTAAAAAACCATAAAAACATATTTCAATTAGAAATCTGAACATATGGCAGATAGATTTTTTCATTTTTGTTTTGTTTTTTGCTTTTTGTTTTTATTATTATTATTTTTTACCTCCAAAGCTTAAACTTACAAGGTTAGTTTAGTTTTGACTCTGACCAGAACTAAGAATTAAAATAGCCCAAGGAACAAAAAATATAGCTGGCATTTTATTGAGGATTTACAATGGGCTGGCATGGTGCTAAGTTCTTTAAATGCACCATCTTATTTTTTTTTTTTTTTTTAGGAAATGTGAATTAAACATGGTAAGTTAAGAGGACAAATGACACAAATAAATTTCAGGATTTATCCAAGGAGTCGGGTTCTATTTAGGGGACTCCCAGAGCAGCCAAACACAGCCATGCCAACGCAGAGAGATATTTCCAGTTTCAGACAGGTCTCGAGCTCCCAGGATGCCAAACCAGGCCAATGAAATATCATGCAAAGGGGATAACCCAGATGACATCTTCAGCCATTTCCAGCAGTCAAACCCAATGAGTCTAAACCCCCTGGCTGAGTGAAAAATATTTGCAGCTCCAATTCCTACAGGGGAAGAAAATACAGTTTTGAGAAACAGCGGAACCCCGGCTCCTTTTCTCTGTGAGTTGTTTGAAGAGGCAAACTTGGAGAGGGCTGTCCCTGGTGCATCTGTCCCAGCAAGTACCAAGTCACAACGCTGTGGGCATTGCCCTGATGTTCCCCAGGGCATGTCCTTTAAGAAGGGTGAGGAGAATGTAAGAGGCTCTCTGTGAAGCTCTTTGGCCCCCTCCGAGAGGGCCCCTGGGAGCCAGTCTTTAGTGGTTCTACTTGGGATGCGGCAGCAGTGAAGGAATCATCAGCAGGTTCTATAAACTGGCCTCTGTCTTCAGGCCCTGCCTTAGCACTCAATCTGTTACCCTGTACTTGACATTGATTTGCCCTGCCAGGTTTCTCAACCTCCGAGCTCCCGGCCCTGGGGCTAGATAATTCTTTATTGGCTCCTGTGCATTATGGGAAGTTTAGTAGCATCTCTGACCTCCTCCTATTAGATGCCGGTGGTGGCTTAATTCCCACCCATTATGACAATCAAAAATGTCTCCAGATATTGCCAAGGGTCTCCCCTGCTGTTCTCCCCTATGGCTTCAGTTACCACCTAGATGCCGATGGCTTCCCAAACCAGCCCTCTAGCCCTGCTGCTTTCTGGAAGTGCTTATCCAACTCTCCCTGGGGTGTTTCCATCTGTGTATCCCACAGGCATCTCCGAGTCAACCAGTCCTAAACTGAGTTGTCTTCTTTCCTCATTCAGGACTGAGCTCCCGCTGGCCCAAACCCAAAAGCTCTTCCTCCATCGGTACAGTCCCCATCTCTGCTCCACCCTCTCCTGCTGCCACCGTCTCAGTGCAGATGTCACTGTCCCTCATCTGGATAATAACAGCATCTCCCTCCTCCTTCTCCCTGTCCATTCTCCACACTCACACCTGACAGATCATCGTAAGGCTTACGCCTGATGGTGCCCCTCCCTGGCTTTCAAGGCCCTGAGTCATCTGGCTCCAGATGACTCTCCTTAAAAGTGCTACACCCACTTTCCCTTGTCCCCATGTCCTTCACCCAGGCATGTTCTCTCCCCCTTTCACCTGGCTGGCTTCCTCATTCACGAAACACACATCAACTGAAAAGGTGCTATACATTTGGAAAGCAGGAGTCCTTTTTGTTTTTAAGTAGCTTCTTTTTTCTTGATTCTATATGGTACATCCTAATATTACAAAACATAAACCATAAACCAATTAATTTACCTACTTCTAGGGTTGCGGTGTTGTCAGGTGATGGGTGAGGGTAACACTGTCGCTTCAAGTGTGGCCTCTTTAAGTGTGTCCCTGAGTCCTATGCCCAAGGGCAAGGGCTTGTCCTCTAGTCCCCTGGCTCTATACTAAGACTGGGGGCTTGAAAATGGTCATGATGAATGATTGATATCATTTCTTCAGGAAGGGACCCTCTTTCAATTTCTAATTTGTAGGAAGAGGGTGTCTGTTTTGACAAACGGGCAAGCTGTGGGGGCACAGCAAGTGCAGGAGCATGGCCTTGCCGACCTTGAACTTGAATTGGTCTCCTAGCATTTGGTCGCCTGCTGCACGCTTCACTTAGTGGAGAAACATACTCCTTCTCACCGTCCAGCTCCCCCCCTCCCCCCGTTTAAAATGCGGATGCCCTTCAGGATGCTAGTGGCACCGCTGCCACTGCATTTCCTGTTGGCAGCAGAGAGCAAGTGAAAACAGAAGCCGCAGCGGGCAGCGGCCCAGGCAGAAATAGCTCCCGCGATTCACCCGAGCCTTCCCAGGCCCCGGTCCCAGCTCCCGCACCTCGCGCGCCCTCGTCCCGACCGCCGTGGAGGCGGCGGCGGGAGGCAGCGGGCTCGCCGAGACCGTACTCCCGCACCCCGCGGAAGGCTGCGCGGCGCCCGCGCGGTTCAGCGCCCCCCGCGGTCGGCGCGGGCTCTCGGCCGGGCAGCGATCACGGCGGTCGGCGATGTCAGGGCGCGCTCCGCTCGGCGTGGCCCGGGAGGCCCTGGGCGCCTGGCTGCTGGGCGGCCTCTGCTTCTGGGCGCTGGGCGGCCTCTGCGGCCTGGGGGCGGCGGCGCCGGGGGCGGGGGCCGGGGGCTCCCCGGGGACTCCGCGCCCATGCCAGGCGCCGCAGCAGTGGGAGGGCCGCCAGGTTCTGTACCGGCAGAGCAGCGGGCGCAACAGCCGCGCCCTGCTCTCCTACGACGGGCTCAACCAGCGCGTGCGGGTGCTGGACGAGCGAAAGGCGCTGATCCCCTGCAAGAGGTACGCGGGCCGCGGGGTGGGCGGCCCGGCCGGCTTGGCTGGGCGAGGTCGCGGGGGCGACGTGGGGCCGCCCGCAATCCAACTGCTGGCGGCGCCTCCCCGTTACCGAGGAGAAACGTCGCGGGGAGGGTGGCCGGGGGCAGCCCGGTCGGGGGCTGGGTGGAGGGCTGGGCCCCCTGCACGCTGAGATCCTCAGCTGGGTGGTGGCGGGTGAAGAAGTAACTCGG